AGCAGATCGCCGATAGAGTGTGGTGAACGGATAGGAGGGTAGCAGACTGCTGGTACCTTCCTATCGCCAATTCTGTCTACCCCCAGACGCTGCTAATCGCTGGTAGACGCTGGCAGACACTGGCAGACTCTAGATCAAAACCTTTGCTTCCCTAGACCTCGAGAAGCTGCTGGCTGCTGATGGACGCTGGCAGATGCTAGATCGTTATCCACACTCTCCTAGTCGCACGCTACAGGACGCCCGGAACGGTGGTGCACCATTAGTCGCAGATGGACGCTGCCGCAAAGTATGAACGCAGTCTTTGGCTGGACTCCCAGCCCGTTTTCCGCCGATCGCTGTCGCCCGCTTGCTTCAACAATTGGTGGAGAACTAGCTGGTGCCGCGTCATTGCAACCCCTTGTCAACTCCCCCCACCAAAAGTATTAGGTTGTCCGGAAAGTTCTTAGCGTTTTGTGCACCTAATCTTTGTACATTCACTGCTGATTAAAAACTCATTCTGCCTTGCTTCTCAGTAGCACATCCTGTAGAGAATTTCTTGCGCTATCTGATGGTATAATTGCCGTTTCACCATTGCTTGATAAACCCCCTTTTTCAAGATTTTTTCAAGCATGTGAAAAGAGCACTTCGGACGATTTTTTTCTTCGGCTATAAATTGGGGCAATCCGCAATCGAAACAGCTCAACAAATTAACCAGGTGTGGAGGCCCAATAGTGCTAGAGAAAGCACTGTGCCGCAATGGCTCAACAAATGTCGTTCTGGAAATTTCAGCCTTGAAGGTGAACCTCATAGCGATCGACCTAAAGCAATTCTGACGAGGATGGGGAGGGGTCGTATTTGACACCGAGAAAATTTTTCCTCGTTTAGCGCAAAAGCAATTAGCAAAACCAAACAAAGCAAAGCAATTAGCAAAAATTTACAAGATAATCCCTGAAGAGAAGGCTACCCACTACATTTAGGCACATTTCTTTCAAAGAACGAGGCCCTTTGCATGTGCACGAGTCCTCGAGAGGTGTGTTACGACACCATCTCTGGCTTTGTGCAATGTGTGGGATGCTAATGGACCTCTATTATCTCCTGCTGAGAGAGTGAAGGTCAAAGGACGCCCTATGAAAAAAACTAAGACATCAACAAAAGGGGCGCAGGAGGGGGCGGCAGATTGTTGTGATCAGGGCAGATCATCTTTGAAGTCTTCAGTGAGCGGGGTCGCATTTGAGTCCTGTTAAGAGGTGAAGAGAAGAGCACAGTGCAAAGATGCAGAGATTTCCAGGATTCTGGAGTTACACAGTTTTCGGTGTAGTAACACTTCCGCCTCCAAACACGAACAATCGAGTTTTTTTTCGCCAATCTGCAGGTAAAGATATAGAAGTAGGGCTCTTAGGTTTGCGGTCCAACGTCTGGCGTTTCAGATTAGGAGGGGCATTTGTTAGTTCCCATCAACGCGAAAACCTCTGATTTCTTGTGGAGCTGAATACCAATTTGTAGCTTTACAGGGGTACCAATGGTCCACCTAATGAAGATAGACGATTAAGCCGACGTTTTCAAATGAAAGGAAATTTCTCACTTGGGAGGTGAACCCGCCTGGATTCAGCCTAACGTATCTGGGGCAAAATCTAGCTACCCAAACAAAGGAGTATTCCAGGCCTGATGATGATGAGCATGATGAGCACCTGATGAGCACCGAAATATGCCAAGGAAAACTTTTCGGATCTTTTAGG